CGTCGCAACTGCCTGGACCCCAAATATGAAATTGACAGTCGAGGGCCTCTTGCAAAAAGCCAGGCCCGCCTTCACTTAGGGCGGGCACCTCCGCCTTCACTTAGGGCGGGTAAGGCTGCAGACAGGGCCCCGTAGGCCTACCGAGGACACTGATCCTCGCAATTGTAATCATATCTGTCAGATGGATATGCCTGTTTCCTTCTAGATGTTACAGAGAGGCCTAGCTTGGTGAAATGCTGGTCTTGTGCTAGATTGTAGAGGAAGAGGGGATGAACTATTACAGCTCTGTGGACAAGTGAGGAAGTGATTTGCTGTGCTGCTGCCTTTAACTGATGCCAGTTGTTACCTGTGGTTTGTGGGTCTTTCTGTGTGACAGTCGTTAGTCCGGGCAGCGGTGCGGAACCTGGTGTATGTTGCAGGAGTTCTTCTCAAGGAATATTGGCAACGGAGAGCAGGCGCTACTCATGGGTCTGTCCGCTCCAGGTAATGCGCTGTTCACACTCCTTTGAGGCCAGCTGCCAACAGGGAACTGGATGATTGAGGTGTTTCCTTCCATGTGCCCCTAGCGACACGAGTTATATCATTAGATTCAGCACATCAGTTTGTGCTTTTTTTTTTTTTTTTTGCATATGAAATTCCCAGCGTATTGGTGGGGAGCCACGCGTGCTGGAAAGCAGGTCCAGCTTCCTTCAGGTGTTATAAAGCAGTCATCCTGGACAGTGGGTCCAGCTTCCCCGGTTGGAATCCAAGCAGTGGTCTGTTCCCATAAAGATGAAGCAAGGACTGGTCTTGAGTCTATGTCAACCAATTTGTCTACAGCACAGGGAGGCAGGAGGAGATGTGTACACTCGAGATCGAGCGCAAGTGTCCTCTCCATGATTGTGTACTGGATATGACATCTCCATGCAGGGGATGTCAAGTTGTCTACGATGAAAGCAGGAATGGAGGAGAAAACAGAGGGAATGAAGTTGATGACTAAGCTCCCCTTACCGATGCCTCCAACATTTCTTAGAGGATGTAGCGTGTGTTGAAAAACTAGTCAAGGATACTACCAGCAACTTCAGACAGGGGATGTCTCTCGTGCATTGGGCTGCCGGAGGTGGAAACAGATAAAAAGGTGATCCTATTCACACTTCGTAATTTCGTATCTTGATTCTCTGAAGATTTGATCGTTAGGAACTAAGAAGGAATCCCGAACACGACCTTGGAAGCCCTTGACTGAAAAACTGATTGAGGATACTAGCTTCAAACAGGGGATGCCTTTCTTGAATAGGACTGCATGAGGTGGTAGCTGATGCGTAGGCGAACCTATTGATGTTTGCGTGCTTGCCGCTGTGTATTGCCTCACACATCGCTCTTTCTGTGAAATGGCCCAAGCTGATCATCATGGCAAATTGCATTTTCTGAAACTTGTAGTTAGCTTGCCTGTTGCTACGTACTCTTTCATGATGATCTACTATGTCTGTGTCCCTTTTAACTCCTTTCATATTTCTTGTGGAAGTTGCGGTACACAGGCTGATGCAGTTGTTGGAACTTGTCGCCCTTTTATTTTTCTCTCGTATTCATTTGTGTGCTCAGTACTGGTTGTAACTTGTACATGTACGAGTGATTGCATTGAATTGGATGTGCTGTGCACTTCCTGCTCAACGCTGCTACGTGGGTGGCCCGGCTTTGCACATGCTCGCCCTTGCATGAGTTCATTCTGTTATTTGTACACAGACTCTTACTCTCTTCCTCCTTCCTCTTCCTTTTGCCTGTCGTTGCCCTGATCCTCATGTTTCGTCTTCTCCTTCCCTTCCCCCCTCCTCCTCCTCCTCCTCCTCCTCCTCCTCCACTGATGGGGGGAATGGGTATGACTTTTGATCCACCTGTATGTGAGCATTACGCCTCCTGAGTCCTTACAGATCATTTAATATGACCCTGTGTTGGTTGGTGTGCACTGTTTTTGTCATTGGAATTGTGCAGGTTTAATTGGAGTGATGCAATCTTTGCGCTCTTGTTGTCAAGCTTCTTCAAGTTTTTCCTGCTTCCTATGATGGTAGGGTAACTGTTTTTGGTTTTGCTTTTCTTGTCGTTTTGCCATTCTTACCTCGTGTATTTCCATGTGCGGTTTGTTATGTTTGTTCTGTTAGTAGTAATTTGAAAATGTATGAGAAGTGCAGTAGTGGTGTCCATGCTCTCTTCGAGTAACTCGAACAAACACCACTCGGGAAGTTGTGAAAAACTTGTACCCTTTGTGTTTTACAAATTTACATAGAACAAAAATGACTGCCTCCATGGGTAAGATTGTTTCAATTGGGCCTTCCGGGACATTGAAAACGACTCGAGAGCGATACATTGTTTATAGAGATAGTGACTCATGAGTGATAACCTTCTTTTTGTCTCCGTGAATAAACAAATGAATGACTGGATGGACAGGTGTGGAAGTTCACTCCAAAAATGGGCGTCCTTATTCACGCGATGATTCTCACATCGAATACAGTGGCCCTCCAAGGTGAGGTTTGTCTTATATCAGTTCGCTCCTCTGCCCTTCCATTCGACCGCCGCCCCTCTCCACACCATGTCACTTGGTGGAAGTGTGAAAAAACTGACTGTCACAATAATGGTCTTTTTCCAGGCATGACAAAGGTGTTGAAAGCACCAAAAAAGAAAAAGAACTGCTTAAAGCCTTAAGCTTTAGTCAAATTTAACGTCATTCGAGTGTCATTTCCACCTCTTAATATTTTTGAAGCTCATTTTGCACCCTGTTTGTGTGTGTGTGTGTGTGTGTGTGTGTGTGTGTGTGTGTGTGTGTGTGTGTGTGTGTGTGTGTGTGTGTTCGGACGCTCTCATTTTCGGTATAAACAACTCCCGGAGAAGAGCATGACGGTTCCAGACTTTTTCACAGGGTTCACTGACTTGTCGTGTGTGTGTGCATGCAAGAGAGAGTTGAGGGGTTGTCTGGGAAATGTTTGGTAGCGAAACGTTGTGACGTCACATCGTTTCGTTTTTTAAATGATGAGAGAAAGGCCCTCATGTCTCTTTTTTTTCACAAGATTTCTACCTCTGAAAGCCCCTTTTCCCCCTTCCCTTCCCCTTCCCTCCCCCCTCACCCCTCTCCTGGTTTTTGGCAAGCTTTGTGTTTTAGAAACTGCTTGCACACACATAATTCTCAATAAACAGATCATCAGTGCTGGGGGCTATTCAGCTGCTATTCCTTTGTTCTTTTTCTTTTTTGTGGCGGGGGGGAGGGATGGGGGACCATTTCTCGATTTCTGTATGTCATCCTCGCGCAGGAGCCATGCCAATGTCCTCTGTATTGTTCCAATTTGAACGCATGTCCCAAAAGACTGATATCTCATAAAAAGGAAGGGCGTACTGCGATGCTTTAGTATTACTTCTTCCGTTTTCTTTTTCTTTTTTTTGCCTTTTTTCTTTTTTCACCAACGCAAAGCCCCTTCTTTTCTGGGGGGCAGCAGTCCGGTTACTTATCACCGGCAAGCATGTTTGTACATCCAAAGAATGGGGGGGGAGATCAGATCAGAAAAGGGGAACAGCCCAACCCTTGTGGCATTGATCGTCTACCAAAAGGGGACCTGCTAAAGGGGGCCCACCCTCCCAAACCATGGTCTTTCTCTAGGGGCCACCCTGCTGACCGGGAGGCTTCCTAGCAGCACCCAGACACGCAGCAGGGGGACCCTCAGAGAGACGGGGGCGGGAAGGGGCCTCCCCTGCAGTTCCTCGGGCCGCCTATCAAACTCCACAGACTATTCTATTATCACTTCCTGGTTAATCTACCTTTGTCCAGCTATCATGCTATCTGTCTTAGCCTGTTTGGGCTACCTTGCCATCCCTCACTGTACCTTCCTCTTAACTAGCCCCCATGTCACTTACTGTCTCTATGTACCTTGCTCCCTGAACTTATTTCGACTATACAATGTATCCTCAATCCTCCCAGCACCTTCTCGTCTGCATTGACTTTCCTGTTCCTGTACTCTCGTATTAGTATTTTTGGTGTTTTTGTTGTATTTTTGATGTTTCTGTAACTTTCTGATCTATTGTGATCTGTTCACCCATCGCCCCCGTCCTCCTCCCTGTCCACCCTATTCATCCCCTTGTCCTTTGGCCCTACTCCCTCTGCTCTAATCTCCTTCCCCTAATATTGTACACTTGCCGCGCTAACTAACTAATTCTACTTACCGCCTACCCCTCTGCCCCCCTAACTACTATACTTACTGGTTGCTTTTCCTTGACTAATCATTTCCCTATTCAGATTTTTCCTCCGTGTCTGAGCAGGGTCTTTGACGTAGAAGCAGCGGACCGAACACCATGCGGCCCGTCTGGGGGTCTCTGACGAGCAGCTGCGCGTATGAGCCCCATCTGGCCCAGAACCGTTCTTCCTTCCCCTCTCCTGTGTTTCTGCTACAATGCCAATCGGCCAGGAGAGCCACCGGAATATTTTCCAGCGCCCTATCCTGGTAAACCTGCAGCGGGGGAGAGCTACCCTGTTCACAGCGTTCCTTCCTCGGTCCACAAGTCCCACAACACCGCCGCTCACAATTTTGGCTGCCATCAGGTCCTCCGATTTTGCCCTGTCCACTTTCATCAGTGCCCCTAATAGGATAGCCGCATCCTCCTCCGTGACCTCAAGCGGGGTTTTATCCGCTATCTCTCGTGCCCACCACTCCCAAAAGGGGGGCGCTATAGGGCATCGAGCAAACAAGTGAGGCAGTGTTTCCACTTGTGCACAATCTGCCGCACATCTCTGGTCCTTGTGTCGGCTCTTAGTTGCCAGCCATGGCGCCGTAGGGATCGCTAGATGGTACAGCTGCCATAGGAGGCCTGCCTGTTTCTGATATGGCAGGGCTGCCAGAAGTGCACATTGCTCATTCCACATTCGTTGCGTCCATCTCCAAAATATAAGTGAGGGATCCAGTTTCTCTTGGCCCATCGAGTCCTCAATTCCTCACAGATGTTTACCGGCTCCAGTAAGGAGTTATAGATATTCTTGGTAGTAAGGTTCTGGAGCGGCACGTCTGTCCTTTGCATTCCTTGTCTCGGCCATTCCCATTCTCAGGGATCCCATATCAAATCCCGCCGCCTGAACACAAGACAGAAGGAAAGGTACTGTCCCTCCCCTTCCCTCCCTCCCTCACACACCCCCACCATTTCAATTGCACTCCTGTCCATGCTTTTTGGGGGGTTCCCTTCCCCCCCTGCCTCCTCCTGCCAGGGTTCCCCCAGACCTTCATAGCCCGTATTCACACCCCCACTGGTGGCCTGTAACCTTCCGTCCTCCAACACTGTTCCACCTTGTATACTCTCTCCGGTTTAGTTTCTCCCCGCATCCTCACGCATTCCCCTGGGATGATCTCGTCCTTTCTCAACAAGTCGTCCACCGGGGAGGGATAGCCTCCCGGAGTTCCCCCACCCTCTGCCTCCTTCTCATCCTACCCTGCGGGGATTCCGCCACCTCATTATCCGGGCGCCAGTCCCTTCGGCCCTCATCCCATAGGTGGCCCACCTTGTAAATGCCCTGCTCCGTGTACAGCCGGTTCTCTCCCCCCCCCCCCCCCTTCCAAACAGGCTCTTATGGTTCTGACTCTTCTGAGCTCCTGTCCATTCTGGGGAGCATCAGTTCCGGTTCCTTTTCCCTCTCGGGGGAGCTAAAGTCCTGTCCATGCTGGGGAGCAAGTCATGTATTAGGTATTACATCATTGACACCCTCACGCTTCCTTCCGTTTGGCCAAAGGACCCCTGACGAGCATTGATTGCTCCTTGTATCGGTCGGATTAACTGTCAGTTTGCCTTCTCATGAATCCCTCTCAGGTTCGAACACTGAACCTGCAAATTATTTCCAGAACAAGAATCTTGAGATAGACTCTTTGACATGCTGTGTCTGAGCCTTCTCTTGGCAGCTTTGCCCCCTGTTCCTGTCTCCTCCTTGATGATGGCGTCGCTCTCTCTTGCAGGGTTACCTGTTTCCCGAGAGCGGGGTCCGAGTTATGCCAGTCTTTCCATTGTAAGGCTGTCTGCGTGGAGGTCAGCCTCACTATTGTAGAGCTTCTTAGTAGAAACCAAGGCTAAGGAGTAGTAGGAACCATCACATAATTATCACAGAACTATCGTATGGGAACGCTGAGATGTCTGTGCGTTTTCGAGTATGCCCAAGAGCCCCTATCTTGCACGCTCCCTCTCTTGCCGCTCCGCTTCCCCTTCCCAGCTTGCAAGAAAAGCTGTCCATTCACTGAAGTGTCTGATCGCACCACCATGCCTCTGGGTGAACATGCACTCGCCATTTTTTCGCGGTTCGTCGGTAGTGGGGAAAGGCTCTTTGTTGCTACTGTCTTCACCTGTATAGAATGCCCAGTCATTATCGCTGTGACTGAAAGTTGCGCCGGATGCAGTTGTAATGACCTGGCGTTCTGTTTGGTTGAAGACGGTAGGTCAACTGAGATCAGCTTGTGCAAAACACAGCCCCTGAAACCAAAGCAGCCCCTGAGTGTGATCCACCCCTTCTCTCAACTGTCATATCAATCACATTGTGAAGCCGGTTTATATTACCCATTGGTCGTAGATCTATTTTGCCCATTGTCGTCGAAAGAGGTCAAACCGACATAAGGTTTATCGTATGTAGTGAATGCACTTTCGCCAAATATAAGACTATGTCAGTGTCTCTGTATATGGCCTCAAAAGAGGACCCTCAGTTCAAACACAGTGCCTCTACCCTACCCCTTAGGTCAGCGTATCTGTACATATGGTCGCTGCTTCCAAGCCTTCTTTTCGCGATGAGTGATGTTGCCCGCCACTGGATTCCAAACGGTTGTGGGGGGCGAGTCTGGCAGTGGCAGCCATAATCATCGCATTTGGAGAGAGACGGTTAACGGAGGCCTCAATTTTCAGACCACTTGTCAGGCCATTTATAACAAAACCCAAGGGTTATTTTAACCAAACTTGCCACCAATTCATAGAGTGGAGATCATACTGACTACTTACTGAAAAGTGGGGGTCCCTGTTAACCGCTTATGCATTGGAGCAAAAACATTTGGTAGGCGAAGGCCACAAAACCTGAGGTTTTTTTTTTTTTTTTTTTTTTTTTCATTTCTAATATTTCTCCCGTGTACAGTGGCGTGTAACTGTCATCCGTGAGTTTCTTTGTAGAAGAAGGTGAGGGCGAAGAATCGCCAAAGTGCCGACACTCAGAATTTTGTGGCCCCTCCCTGGGGCAGCCCGTGTCAAGGTAGGCCAAGCCTGACTGCAGGCCCACGTTAACCGGCGCATTCTCACGGATAGCTTGGCAGGGGCGTTGGTGGTTTCATGTAGACGTAGTATCCCTCGTGTTCGAGCTTGAGGAAGACAGTACTACAAAACCGGACCTCTGGCAAAATTTTTCTACTTCTAACACCTCATGTGCTTATTTCGTTCTCAGTCCTCTGGAAGAGTCAAAGTTCTGCATTCACTGTTGTGTTTTTTCATTTTCTTCCATTGGTATGTGTCTTATCTTCCATCCTGGCATTTGTGACCAAAGCTTCCGCATCAGCAGGTTCTTCACGTCCATAGCCAAACTAAACCTCCTTTGCCCATCCTTTCCTCCCTCCCTGAATTACTCAGTCATGCGGGCCACGTACGCTCACACAGAGCTATTCTGAACAACGGGACTGTTCACGTGACAGGAGTAATCCTTCTTGTGTATGCCCCCCTACGGTCTTCCCCCGAAAAGGACCCATGGTCGTCGTCTGGACTGAAAAGTGGCCCAAATGCATCTACGGGGACCGTATGTTTTATTCGGTGGAAGATGGCAGTCCTTGCTTGTTTGTTTCCCCTCTGTCACTTAGTCAGTCATTTGTGCCTGCTTTGTATCAAACAAAAAAACTTACTGAAGAACAAGCAAAAAAATATTTTGTCCGAATTGAAGCCCGAGGACTGCGCAGGGAATTGAGACATCCAGTGCTGCCAATGTCACAAGGGCTGCCAGCTCTCTAATATACATGGTTTACATGTTCTCTGTGTGTGTGTGTGTGTGTGTGTGTGTGTGTGTGTGTGTGTGTGTGTGTGTGGGTGCGTGTGTGTGGGTGTGTGTGTTCTTGATTGAATTTGTATATGCAGTGGTTTTGAAATCGTCGACTCTACATGCTGCGACCGCTATAATGGCTGGCGTTCTGGCACGTTTTCTTGTCAATTATGCTTTTCTAGGGTTCGTATAGACTCCATAGGGGCACGGTTTTTTTAGGGAGTAGCAGTTTTCTTTTCATTACCATTGGCTGCATTCGTTTCATGAGAGCACTCTTTATTAAAAGCTGTTGGATCAGTATTGGATCCAATACAATGGCAGGACTTGAATGGATGTGTACATATTGGGTTGCCCAGCATATATTTGGCGGAATCGCTGTCGGCTTTTGGGGATAGGTTCAAAATTGATTGGGCAGACCGTGAGGAGAGCTGAAGACTGCCTCTTGTGCACCATCACTTGTTGCTTCGGGAGATTGAAGAGTAAGTAATTTCAATTGCTGCGCTCGTGTACTTGTTGTTCTGTTTGCTAATTACTTCCCAATGGGTGCTCCCATGCACTTGTTGTTCCGTTTGCTATCTGGTTGGCTTAGTCTGAATGCAGCTAAACTACAGTTCCTTTCCCAGCTAGTTTGTTCTGACGCAGCAGCTAACACGCCGCATTAACAGGGCCTCATCCTACCGGACAAAAATGGCTGGCGGTGTCAGGCCAGAAGAAAATCTTTTGCCCGCGCGTCAGTTTGGATTATCTTGGTGCACAGTCGCAATTCGGGTCGGGTCGGGAAAAAGAGGCTCAGAGAAACTGGTGTGTGGCAAAACATCCAAAGTGTTGCAAACCAGTTCCTCCGGGCAAAGGGTCGGTGCCTTTGTCTGGATTTGTTCTTTTGGATAGGGGGTTGGCACTGGTGGGTTAAAGCTTTCGGCGCTTTGCCTTGCCTGTCCTCATCTGGCCTTGCGTTGTGTTCTTCCCTTCCCTTCGCTTCCCTTTGTTTTCCTCTCCTTGTCTGCCTCTGTTCTCCCATTTGCTTGCCTTCCAACTCTTTGTCTTCTTCTCTCTTATTTTTTTATTGAAAGGGCGACGGCCTGGAGATATCATCATCAAACTGACCATCCCTAGGTAATTCCAAATTGTCATCTTTTACTCATCTGCGTCCAGTGCAGTTCGAACTCTGCACCTGGTCTGTATTTCAACCGTTCAGGGGATGAGGCCAGTTGGTATTGCCTTCCAACTCTTGCGTTTTTTTTGCTTCCGTCGTTTTCCCTTGCCTTCTTCTCATCTCGTCTCGTCTCGTCTCTTGCTTTTGTTGACTCTCTATGATCCCAATTTGGTTCCGTGTTCTGTTTTGTCTCGTCTCGTCTCGTCTCGTCTCGTCTCGTCTCGTCTCGTCTCGTCTCGTCTCGTCTCGTCTCGTCAAGTCTCGTCAAGTCTCGTCACGTCTCGTCACGTCTCGTCACGTCTCGTCTCGTCTCGTCAAGTCTCGTCTCGTCTCGTCTCGTCTCGTCTCGTCTCGTCTCGTCTCGTTTTTGGTTTATGAAAGGGGCGATAGCCTTGAGATATTCTCATCGAAGTGACCAGGCGCAGGTAATTCAGAATTTTCATTCATCTTCTTCTCTTCGGATCCGAACATAGGGCTGTATTTCAACAGTTCATGGGTGTACCAACTGGACTAACTTACTTAAGTTGGACCAATACAGAGAAGATTAGCATGGTCCCTATGAAAAGACGACACACATAAGTATCAAGAAATGGTTCTGGTTTTTCCTTTCACTCTGTTGCCTTCCTGTGTCTTCCTTGACCTCGTGCTGCGGTTCTTGATCTCACCGTCTTCCCTTCCCTTCCCTTCCCTTCCCTTCCTTTGCCTTGCCTTCCTGTTGCCTCCATATATATACCTTTTCATCCCCTTCCCATTTTCCCATGCTTCTGCTTTCCACACTACTGTATGTTTTGATACGGCCCATCACAGTTCCAGCTGCACCCACCCATCGGCGTTGAGCAGGCCTGGATCTACATTGTCTGTGCTATTGTGACCACCCCGCCAGGCCTGGATCTACATTGTCTGTGCTATTGTGAGCACCCTGCCTACGTCTGCCCAGCATGGGGCTGCCAAGGACAGGGCCTGTAACTGTGACAAGTGGATCCTCTTCTTTCATCAGTCACACCTGATCGTTTCTTGACCTGTCTGGTCACTGTGGCCATATATAGGCCATATTCTGCCTTTCCGATGCATTCCATAGGCCATATGCCGCCTTCCCCATGCATTCCACCGCAATGCTCATCATTTACCGTGCCTTGAGCAGGTTTTGTGCCAATGTGAGTTGAGCGATGGACCAGCTTTCCTCCCCGTTCGCCCCCCCATGCCACCGTTACCTCTCCCTTCGCCTCATCTCTCAGTCCCACCCAGAACAGGGCTACGGCTCTGAGAGGAGCATTTGTCTCTTTCCCTTCTTAGACCACTAGTACCTTTGCCGTCCAGTTTCGGCAAGTTTTAGCCTAGTCCCGAACTTTTAGGAGGTCGGGCCCGACAACGGCTGCCATTGATAAATCTGATCGGCGGCCGTCGTTTCGTTTCGGCCTCCTCCTGAAAGGTCGGAGGCCCACTCACTATTTTCCGAACCGACAAAGGTACTAGTGGTTTCAGGCCTTCCTAATCAAGATTGGGAACTGGAAATCCTAAACCTGGATCCGGACATTTAAACTCTAGATTCCTTCTTGCTCAGGAGACTTCAATTAGGCACCCCTTCCCCCCTCC